CAGATACTTGAGATAACAGTTCCTCTTTTGATGTTGACACGTCCTCTGGAGGGGTCATAAAAGTAGTGGGGGTGAGGGGGTACCAAAGGTGATTGTAATCACAGTCAGCAGGAAATGCCTTCAACAGCATTCTACATTATTTTCTTTCAAATCCAGCTAACAGAGAGGAATCATATCTTAACACCCCCCACTGTAAATACTTTGTATCAATGCTCTCCCTTGTAACAGCTGATTATCTCATTCACAGAGGGCACGGAAGGGACAGACACGATGAAGCAACTTTATAATTTTGACAGTCTGATCACACCTGTCATCATCCTGCTTCACAACAGATCATAAATGTTTTTTTTTTTTTAACCAATAGGTTGGTTGCAAAAATCTTCAGTCAAAAGGCATTTGGTGAGTTGTCTTTATCTCCTTTGTTTTTCAGGTTGCGAAAAGCTTCAAATCTATAAAAGTAACTTTCAGTTTCCGGCAAACGCACTTGATTTATTGACAAACTGAATGACATATTAAGTTATAATAAGATTTGTGAGATGATATACACGTGCGCATACCGCTGCTGAAGTTTCCTCTTTTATCATGTTGCATTCCGCTGAGCCAAGTGCAAACAAATCTATCAAACTATAAATTGTACTCAGAGGAATATCAAATCATCTCTCTCTGGTGGATCATTCATAAGTCATGCAGAAAGCCTAACGTTATGACCTGCTACATTCGCTGATAGAAACAACTGGATAAGCATGGTGGGAATGACAATGAAAATTTTGATATTTTTATCTTATTTTTTTCTCCGAACTTCTGCCCTACTGTGTATACTTTGTTTAAAGTCTCAGCACTTGATCATGTCCTTACATTTGGTCACTGCAAGTGAGTCCCACTTGGAATCACCCCAAATCACCTTAGAATTGGTCAATTTCAGTCATTGGTGTCATGTAATTTTTGGTGTGGTTTAGAAATAATTTCATGATACAAATAAAGTTTGAATAAATTAAGCTACGATTAGGTGTGTCAAGATTTATAAATGAGTTAATGCAAAGGCAATAATTGATTATGTCGATATTGGCAATTTGCAGATTGTACTTTAACAGAAAGTGGTTAAGCTAAATTTCATTTTTGACTCATTTAATAATAAAGAAATGCTCATCTTTGCCAGACGTGATGTGATGACATCAGCAAGGTATTCACTGTATCAATGCATACAACTTGATCGATGTAACAACACATTTCTATTTGGGGGAAAAAAAAATCTTTGATGCATGCACTTTCATTATCCTTTATTAAAACAATTTGAGGAACTTTCTATACACTGTTTGAATCTAACAGCATTGCAAAAAGCCAACAGCAAATATGTTAGGTAACAGCAGAATTCTTCTATGTACGCTATAAATATAGATTTGAATCAATAACATAAAGCAAGTGTTATGCGCAATATTCCAACCAACTCCACTTGTGACAGAATGGTGTATCTTGACTTCCAAGTTGTCAACAAAGTGTAAAAACGCTGGTTCAGCAATTCAATATTCAGAAGACGACCAGACAGACAGTTGTTAGGGGGTGGATCGATCCAAATGCTGATAATATTGATACCAAATCAGTATCGATATCGGATCGATACAATGAGATTGATTAGCAGTTTCAGTTTCGCTCTTGTATGCACAGCTGTGATTTTGTCAAACAGGTGACGGTCAGGTTGCCGGACTTCCTCGCCTCCCTCGACTCCGTTGCCTCCGACCCTCTTCCCGTCTTGTCTTGTGCTGTCTGCCATCTGACTTATGCGGCGTCAGACTACACGAATGGAGTCCAATGTTGACGTCGTGCGTCGTGGCCTATTTTCAGTTGTCTTGACGCGTCGTAGCCTGTGTAGTGCCACACACACACGCACGCACGCACGCACGCACGCACGCACGCACGCACGCACGCACGCACACACACACACACACACACACACACACACACACACGGTTCCCTGACTTTGGCCAGTACTGCGATGGAGTGCAGGCCTTGTCACTCACTCCCTTACCAGCGCGTTCTTTTCTGTCCAAAATATCTTGCAGGACACACAAGTCACTGGAGTTACCACCCCAAAAAGTTGTATTCCCTGCGGCGGGAGCACGCACGCATATATACATTGCTGGAGTGTCACTACAAAGTAAATATATTGCATATATATATTTTAATCGGGATAAAAGGGATCGAGACTTTTCCGTTGCTGGTCCCTCTCTATGGAATGGCCTCCCACTGAACATTTGGCAAGCTCCCTCGCTGCCGATCTTTAAAACCCGCCTCAAAACTCACTTGTATTCCTTGGCATTTGACTCAGCGTGACTCACATTTGATCTTAGTTTAACTGTTTGGTGCTTTCTACCATCTTTGTTACTGATTTATTACTTTACTGTTGTATATGTTAGTTGTTCCATGTACAGCACTTTGTATGCAGCGATGGCTGTTTGAAAGTGCCCTATAAATACAGTTGAGTTGAGAGTTGAGTAATTCTTTGAAGCAGTAATATTCATGTGCCCAACACATTGCCTTCTACAGTGAGCTTAGTACCCAGTCATAGCCAATAATGCAGTTGTACTAATAATCCATCCATCTATCAATTTTCCAATCCGCTTATCCTCACAAGGGTCGAGGGGGGTGCTGGAACCTATCCCAGCTGTCTTCGGGCAGGAGGCAGGGGACACCCTGAACTGGTTGCCAGCCAATCGCAGGGCACACACAGACAAACAAATATCCACACTCAGTAGATCATGCAAACTCCACACAGGGAGGCCGGAGCCGGATTGAACCAGGTACCTCTGCACTGTGAGATCGATGCGCGAACCACTCGCCCACTGGACCGCCCTTGTACTAATAAGTCTCTGTGTCATGAATGACCCTAATGAGGAAGAGCGGTTCAGGAAATGGTTTGATTTGATGTATTGCTGTTGAAGCACAACAAATTCCGTGTTAAGGGGAAAAAAAATATTTGCATGGTTGATGGAATAAATACATTACAATAACAAATTATGATCAAAGAGTAATGATTCTGTGGCACAGTGGTCTGTTAGCACGTCCGCCTCACAGTGCAGAGGTGCAGGGTCTGATTCCAGGACCCAGCCTTCCTGTGTGGAATTTGCATATTGAAACAAAACAGCAAGGAAAAAACGAAGATGCAAGTTCTCGCTTGAAAGTTTTTCAACCTAGACTGGAGAGTTTATTTTGAAGAAAGAACAAAGATGAGTTAGGTGTAAAGAGAGAGCTTATTTAAACAGCAGCGGCAAACTGCAACAAAGAGAACGCAAATTAGTTTCTGATCTCCCAATCGGGACATGAAACACCAAGTTGTGTGTCCCTGCTACGCTGCAGCCAACCAGACTCAGACAGGGGCTCAGCCCGTCCCACCGGCTGGAGCAGCTTTTCTCTCACAGACCTCTTCATGATCAACGCAAATGCGAGCACTGGTGTTGTGCACGAACCAATTCTTAGAGCACCGCCGAGAGGAGACAGTAGTGATGCGTTCAAAGCCATAAGAATCAACGATACCCTCACCAACTACCCGGTTACATCTGTCTATTGATCGATCGATTGATCAATCTATCTATCTAATCTTAAACTTATATACTGTACGCTCACATTTTTTGGGGAGTCCGCACGACCATTGAGTGAATGGTGCGCGCTACCGGCGAGTGCCAATCAGCCGGGATTGGGCATGGAATTGCGTTCATTTCTGTTGGCCCTGGAGTACATTTCTCATTATTCCGCCGTTTCAATCTAGCCACGACATTTACATGTTATAAATAATCGGTGTACCGCTGGTTCATGATTCCGTTTTTACTTTTTTGCGATGACAGGGCAATGCTGCATCACATTTTTTTCCGGACTTCTCCCGTGGGTATATTTTTGTGCCAGTTGAACTTTGAAAAGTGAAGGAAGCCTGTATGTGCGAAGATGCCGCCTCCGAGAGGTATGAATGGTTATTATAGAGAAGAAACACGCATTTCAGGGCCGGTGACTTGACATCCTGTGATTTTCATCCTCCTTTCATATTTAATAGAGGGGTACAATACCTG